ATGTCACATAACATTTACAGACATTTTATAGTTGAAAAATCGGTACAAATTTGCTTCTTTAAAACCTGTCCAATTTAATCATTTCAATATAATAAATTAGTCATGTAAAATCATAATATAATATTTAGATCACCCAAATCAATAACAGTTTTAGGTATCAACTATATAGTTCTATATTGTTTCCTATCATAAAATAAACTGTCGATAATCATCTAATTTAAAATGTTTCTTATTCTAATAAAATTATAAATTTTTACTCACATTTCTTAGATTCATATTTATATTCATAACTATATATCGCATGCATATCTTATTCGCACACATGCCATCTAGGAAATTAAAATAATAGGATATCATTACTGATACTTGTAATTATTTTTGGTTGATTGATGTCAAGCTCAACTCCTTACTTCGTTTGCTCTTCTTTACCTACGCGTGAAAATCATCACACGCTAAGTATACACTTAGTGAGGCATTATAAATAAACTAAAGTGATATCATATATAAAACAACTTAATAATATTATAATAATTTAAAACTTTAAACTTGAATTTAAATAAAATCATTAAATATTCAAACTGACTTATTCAAGCAAATATTCCTCATCATAAACCTGAAAATATCATCTCATATTATGTCAAAACCATGATAATCAATATCAAACATAATAATCATGTCATAATTCTTTTCATTCAGATATATTTCAGAACTTTCATTTTTAGATTCAGAACTTTCCAAATTCATAATTTATTTTAGATTCATAGCTTTACTTTCAAATTCATAACTTTAATTTCAGATTCATAGTCCAATGTATATTTATAAGAATGTAGGGTGCATGAGTCAGACAAGTGTGCAGAATAAGCACTTCAGTGCTTTCATCAAACTCAGACTATGCACTCCAAGTGCAATCATATCATTTGCACCAACGGTGCGATACAAATTGTACCAAATGTACCATATTAGAATCAGAATCACTCCACCTCATGGCATACTAATTGTACCTACGACTCTCAATGCAACATACAATGGGCTTTACTTTAAATTCATATAATTTATAATTCAACATTTCCAATCAGTAGCATTTTTCAATATCATTTATCAAAACCAGTGCATTGGGCAATTCATACTCGAAACCGTCCATAATTAAAAATATAGATATCACATAACATACTTTGAGTCGTTCTTGTTTAAAAATCATTTTAAAAATTCCATTCAAATAAATTTTCATAAAATATCCTATAAAAACATATTGGATATTTCATAAATCTTTTCGTTAATCAGTATGGAAATATCCCATAATTTAATTCAAACTTTTCTTTTAAATCATCCGAGGTTAACTTATCACAAGTCTTCCTTAGTTACATATAACTTAAATAAATAATGCACTCACTTTGAAACTTTATTTATAGGTCCAAAATATAAGCCTCACTAAGCTTTAGGTGTATTCCTTTACTTTCGATTACAAAATTTATCGTAAATTACAACTTTGGCAGTTTGCACTACTTTTAAAGAAATATTATTATATATCAATCTATACACTTAAAAATTATTTTGTTTATACCACTGAAAACTATAATCAAATATCAATCTAACCATATAAGGAACTTCTTCTAGTTCAATTTCTACAATTTATAATGAATTTTCAAATCTGACTTACAGAAGTTGTTTTAAGTAGAATCTGCTACCCTGTTTTCTGACTTATACTCGGTTAAAAATTCATATCCTTTTGTATACTCCTCGGAATTAGAATATGTTTACTTTAAACAAAACTAGAATGATATACGTATCCAACAGTGTAAGATTAATACTCTAACTATTTCTTTAGAATTTCCGATGATTTTATAAACTTACTATTTGGATCATAAATCCTGGCAGAATTCACCAATTTGCATTTTCAGCTTATTCACTAATTTTATTAGCTCACCAAATGAACAAATATGCATGAGCCACTAAACACATAACAAGTAGGAGTCTCTTCTTACCATAGTAACTCTGTCACTGGCTCGTCGCAAGCCAATGTTTGTTCGACATAAGTACAAATTAAATTTGCACTCACCTGGTGTCCTTAACTTGTAAACCTTTCTTAGAAATTCACATTCCATCCTTAAGCTTTTCCTTAGCTTTAATATTGTTTGATCTTGATTTCAAGCAAACAATCTAAATGAGCATCATTAAAAACATATACAAATTCAAACCACATGTTAGAATCTTACTAACATATACACATAATAGAAAATAATTTCCTCAAAATTCTTTCGATGATCATTCGATACTAATTCCATGTCACAACATAATTGCTGACCATAACACTTCAAATGGACCATTCAAGTCCCTTTAATCTAAATTCATCAAACTTCACATAACATTTTTCAAATTTGTATTTTTAACCACAAATTATGAATTCTTTTAAAATTCATCTCAACTTTTCTGTTTCATTCAAAATGGTCTTTTACTATTTTCTCAATTCAAATTCAATACTGAAAATTCCAGCATCGAATCAACATAATCAATCTAGTACATTTACAATTGCATAATTACCTTTAAACCCTCCAAACTTCCCAAACTACTCACCAAACTTACCAAGTTTCCAAAATGATCCAATTTCACATTCTAACATCAATTTCAACATTCTAACATCAATTTCAACACTCTAACATTAATTTCCAGCATAGTACATCAACTATTGAACTATTACACATATATCCCACAATTTCCCATAATTGTCGAATAAGTCCCCCAACTTTCATAAAATTACAAAATGATCCTCAAATTTTTCTAAGGTTTGTAGAATAAATCCTACATCATTTCTAGCCCCTACATACTTTTCCATAATTTTTCTCATCCTCAAAAGCCAAGGCCGAATAGCACAAGGCTAGGGTTCCATGATTTCACTTGGTTTTGATTCGATTTGAGCATGAAATCTACCTCTATTCAACCTTATAAAATCTCTACAATCAAATCCCTAATCAAATTTCATCAAATCATAACTTTCCCTAATTTTTAGGGTTAGTCCAAAACTACCAAATACATTTCAAGGAGGTTTGATATGATTTAACCATCAAACAAGCATGTAAATGCTTATACAACCTCAAGATCTATCATCAATTCCATAAACCCTAATATGAATATAAACCCTAGAATTTGGGATCTTTGAACTCAAGCAAGATTAACATGCAATAATGATTTCAAATGATAGAGCTCATCGAATAGAACAAATTTCTATTTCACGTCTTAATCCAAAAACCTAATATATTAGCTTAAAAATGAAAAATAAAAATTCTCTTACCTAGGGTATGAAGGCCAAGAAATGGAGGAGAAATATGACTGAGTTTTCATGAAATTTTAGTTAATTTCATATTAATTTATCAGGTATTTAAGCTTAAATTAATATAAAATTTGTTTAATGAGAAATGACAATTTTACCATTAATGAAACTTAATAATTACATCCATACCAAGCCTAACCATTATCATCTTTATAAAGTCAAATGTAAACAATTTACCCTTTACAGTTTTTCCCATGCAACTTTTCCAAAATTTCAATATTGTCATTTTTCATCCAACGGGACAAATTGAACATGGAAATTATTTCTTAAATACAATACTCCATATTATTTTCCATCATTTTAAAATGTGAAAAATAATATTTATAAGCTTAATTTATCATCCTTCAAAATTTCTCAAAATTTATATTCAATCCGATTTACCGAATTTTTACTGGACTTTAACACTTTCTAGTTTTTAACACTAATTCCGGATCAAGAATCTAATTTCAATAAAACCCCCTCTCAAGAGTTAACAATCCAATTATGGAATAAAAATTCTTTTTGGGAAAATTACTACTTATGTCCCTAAACTTTTCCCAATTTTATACTTTGGTCAATAAATTTCAAATTTTACATTTTGGTCACTAACCAAAATTTTTGGGATATTACAACACTTAGAATAATTTAATACAATATGTATACTTTTGACGGTTAAAACAATTAGGGTTAGCTTAACAAGTGCGAGGATAACATGATGTGAGAATTTTTTTTATCGAAAAGTTTGATTTGAGATTTAAGTGTTTAGTGTTACTATCATTAAGTGCTTTTGTGAAGATAAATAATCATTTTAGACACGAAATTATAATATAAAATAAGTGTATTTATTGTGGTAGATATAAAAATATTTTTTTAAGATGGACACATATATTAACAACACATAATTTTTGTCCGTGGATGAACACATAAAAGTTTTAAGCCGTGTTCAATCAATAAATTGAATAACTAAAATAAAAAAAAATCAATTTTAGGAATGATACTTACCTACCCTGAACAAAATGTGCATATGTGATTATATATTTAAATGATGTTTAAATTATAATATATATAAAATAAATTAGTTTAAATTATAATTTTAAATAAGTTTATCTATAAAAATAAAAAAATAGTAATATTGAACTATAATTTTATTAAATATTTAATTATATATTCATAAAAACTATAAATTTATAAATAATTTATTAAATATAAATTACCATCACTTTATTTTATATACTTTATTTTATATTTGTATACAAATATAATCACTTTCCACTGTTGAAAAAAATATATATATTCACTTCCAATTTTATAAATTATAGAATGTGATTTGACGTAAGAAATATGGTAAGTTTATCTATTGTTGTTCTCCGTCATTAACAAAATAAAAGTTGGATTTCTTTTAATTTCCTAACAATTGTTATGGCCAAATGTTTCTCTCGTTTGTGCATGACGAAGCAGCTGACTAGGTTTTGGTTCCTCTACCAGCCACAGGGGATACCACCATTGTCACTGCTTAACTGAACATTTTCATTTATCCAAAGTGATTAATTTTTTGAAAAGATTAAACTTTAATGTGGGTCAAGCTTTATTAAAATTCATAGTCTTCTCCCTTTCTTTTGTTTAATTCCTGTAAATTCAATGTTTAATGCTGTTTGCTATTGCAAATTTTCTCTACAGTGATTATATCTTTTCTTGGGCGTCATCATATCATAGCATCATCCTTTAAACAAATGGGCATGCGTTCTTCGCTGGGATAACATTGAATTTCTCATTACACATCTAATCCCATTATTATAGGCCTAAAACAAAAGTTTGTGTACAATAAACTAGAATCACAATCCTCGGTCTCGGTCTCTGGGAAGATCTTCCATCATGTTGTGTCTCAACCAACCACATTTAACATCAACCCTACGTCGAGCCCTTTGCGGCTTTTGCACGAGATTGCTGGCCTTCTAGTCTTGCTTCTAGTAGTTTTGCTTTCAGGGTGTTCTCCTTAAAACCCGGAGGCAATGTCAGGCAAGAATCTGTTTTCTTGAAATCGGGAGACGACAACTTCGAGACCCATTGTTGAACTGGACTAGCACGACCTTTGAATACGGATTGAACACACGAGTCTTCCCTCAAACTACACTCAGGATGTACTTTGTCACCTTCTGAGGACAAGGAATGGTTTCTGATTAAGCTATCAAGCACATTAATAGAGCACAGTCCACGGCTCCCGTTCCGTTTCACCTTGTTATCATGGCTAGTCTCTCCATTAGCCAATTGTTCGTCAAACCGGCCTCGGAAACTGCAAGATTTACTGCTCTTGACGGCATCCTGAGACTGTGCCTTTTTCCTTATCGAATTTCGGTTTCCTAATTCTTCACCATGGCATACTAAAGCATTGTCCCCTTGAAGTTTACAGCTCCCCTTGCTTAGAACTCTGCTGACTGGTTTTTTGGGTTCATAACACTGCAAATCGCTATCACTGGAATATTGTTCATCAACTGCACCATGAGGGGCACTAACAGCTTCATTTAACGGAAAAGACTCTAAAGAATGTTGATGTGAGCATTTCCCTTTAGGACCACTTTTCCTTGACCCGGGGGAGCGTTTGGCTTCAAGAAAAGTTTCAATATCGAGGCTTAACTTGTCAACGATGGAATTCTTTTCTGCAAGATCAGTTTGACCTTCGGCTAGTTTCATTTGCATCCGCTCATCAAGCCATGCCTCTGACATATGGAGAATTAGCCGCTCAGGTTTTTCTCCATCAACGTGATCGATCTCATGCTTGTGCTTAAGGAACCGCATCTCCTGTTCGTATTCTCTAACTCCCCTAGCAAACTCATCACACAAGTTCTCCAATAGAATTCGTGCTTTTCTCTCTCTCTCGAGTTCTTTCAAAGCATTAGCGAAAGAAGATCTTAGCCCCGAGAGATCTCGAGCTAGCTTTCGGTGCATGCTTTCGGAGCGCTTTCTTAACCTCCTCTCGTTTTCCAGCTCATCTCTCACCAGCTGAACGACAGCTTTGACTTTATCTTGCTCTTTGTTCTTCCTAATGAACTTATCCTCCGTAACTTGCTTCATTAAATTGTCCATTTCCTGCCTTTCTGTTTGCTGCTCTCGCAACAACTCTTTGATCCGACCCCGAGAATGACCCAGCTCCGTTTTCAGAGCATTTACCAACGACATGTTTGATATATGTTGTTCTTCAAGAGACCAGATTCGGTTGAGTACCTTGAGCAGCTCCGTTGGTGTCTTAAGGCTATAACTTGATCTCTCAGACCTTCCCTTGAAATCCAAAGAAGTAGACGGAGCGACCGCAGGGTCATAAGGCGCTATCTGCAAAGAAAACAAATATGAATCCATTTAAGCGATTTGGTTGCAGTATATTATCTGTTTCTACTGAAAAAGAAAAGGTAATGTCATTAATGACCGAGGATAGATGGTGACCTCCAGTGAGCTTCCGCAACTAGCAAGAGATACAGGCTGTGGAGCATGGCCATTTCTTTCAACCAATCGAGCATGTTGCATCGGTGATGCCGAACTATGCTTCCTCAAGCTACTTGCACTTGCTGGCTGACATTAGATTCAAGACAAATATTAATAATAAACACGAGTAGACAAGGCTATGCATCCATTTTACCAAAAAAGGGAAACATGATCGACCCAAATAACCAGTTGTCCCTTAATCGACCAGGCAGATTTCAGAGAAGAGAAATTGATGATCAGTTTGCAACTAAATGGCAATGTATCTAAATCAGAAAATAAAATCAGTAAAAGATTCACATAAAATACAGAAATCTACGTAAATTAACTCACCAGTCAAGCAGCAAAGAAAGCAATTTGATGCTCTCTTTTTACACTAAAGACACCAGGTAGAGTTCAACTAGTACACAACTTGGTAGAATTCAAACTAGCCATAAATGAGCAGCAATGGTGACTAAAGCAGCTGGAAGTGAAACTTAAAAAGACTAAAAAAGAAAAAAAGCATGTTACCCTAGACCAAACGTGTGCCCCTCACAGAAGAAACAGGGAAAACCAGACAAGTGACAACTAAGAATCTTGACAATTAGTGTCGAAAAGAGGCAAAATATTCCGCATTCACAGCAAAGAAGAATCAGAAGAAAGAAGAAAGAAAAGAGTTAAGACAGACAGAGAGCAACAGAACACCAAGACAGTGGACAGCAAAGCAACCAAACAATCAGAATCCAGAAAAAGCAGAACCTTTTACTTTCTTTAACAAATAATAAAAATTTAAACAAAAGCTTAAATCGTTTTTAAAAGAAACCAACTACCTGATCAAGGGGAGTATGAGGAGGATCAGCAGCAGCATCAAAACCCTTGTGTTTAAAATGGTGTAGCCGAAGCTTGGAAGCTCGTTTGTGCAAAGTGGGAAGTGAGTAATGAGGGTGAAGGTCCCAAAGATTGGCACAGAGTTTTCGGGCGGAAACAGAAGATCCATTGGGAAGTTGGAGGAACTCTGGGGTAGTGGCATTTTGAGGAGAGAACTCGAGTCGCCAAATGGGTGAAGGAGTAGAGGGGCCAGCTCTTTTCCCTACCAGCAACCCGCCTTTCAACTTTTTCGCCATGAAATCTTGATTTTCCCCTTCACTCTCTACACTTTTCTCTTTTCTTTCCATCACTGTACACACACACACATTCTCTCTCTGTGTGTTTTCAAAATTTAAAACTGTGGGTTCTTTCTTCACTCATTCTCCACTGATATTATTGGCTCTTTGTTTTCGCTCGTGTTCTTCTCTTGGTCAGCCTCCCAAGACTCAAATTTCCATCGCCACTTGTTGCGGCTCTTGCTCTGTTTTTTTTTTTCTCCTTTTAATTTAGGACTGACATAACTATTAACTCACATTACCTTTGGATTCCCTCAAGTCTAGGACATTCACATGTCTAATCTGCGTCATATCCTCGTTTCCTTTATCCATTTCCCCCTCTTTCTATGTAATTATTTACTTTTTTATGTCCATGTTGATATTCTACTATCCAAGTTATTATATATAAACATATAGACTTTATTGTATCCATTCATCAAAGTTAGAATGCCGGCATATAAAAACTAATTATTGAGCTCTCTTTGTGAACATACCATATAGATAGGACAAGGAGCATGCAAGTTTTAATATATAAATTGTTTTCTAAGTTTTACTTGCACATTCAAAACAAAGAGTTACCTTTTTCTAAGTTTTAATATATAGGACAAGGTGAATGTAAAATTGTTTTCTAAGTTTTACTTCCACATTCAAAAAAAGGGGCTAAGATGGCACCTTACCAGGATAATTGAAGGTAAATTTTAAAATTTGCAGGTGAAAGGTGAGTTAATTATTCAGAGTAATGGACGTTGAATAAGCTTTTTATTAAATAAAGCCATGCGGCTCGCGGAATGGGTCATCTACCTAAACCCCTAAGCAAATATTATAACCACATTGTCCATGAAATCTGTGCTTCCACGTTGCTTCTCCTCTTCCAAACAAAGGCCTTTTAACTTTCTCATTTTCTTTATTCACCGCTTAGCTGAAGCCAGAAACTTTGTTGTACCACATATTGTCTTGCAACCAAATTCGGTGGTCCACCTAATTGTTAAACAAGTTAAACAAAGACTTTACCTGTACTTGTTGCTGCTATTCCATGTTATTTACAACATCTGCATGCCAAAATTCGTTTTTACCAGTCAATTAACACATCGAATCCCATAATTTAATCTTGTGGAGACAACACAAGGATTGATAACCAACGATGGACCACTTGAAAAAGTGGTCCTAACCAAAGCTCACGCAGTTTCACTTTTTAACATAAATTCACGACCCCATTCCAAAATACAATTCATTCCCCACCATATGATAAAAACGCCAAACCATGTTGATGCCATCATTTTTCTCATTTATATAGCCACCCGATGACATAACCTGAATATTTTGAACCCCGCAGATAAGAGAACTTGACTTGAACTTGCTTTTGTGTTGGATGCAACCCACGAGATCAAGATAAAATGCCTGTGCTTTTGGCTGTACCATGGCTTGGACTCGGCAATTACAGTTAAGTTGGTTTTGTGCAAAAATTGTATCAAAATTTTCTCCAATCTTTCCATTTCCTTTGGGCCTTAAATTGTGCCACTTAACCCAGCTCTAGGCAAAGGAAAGGCAGTCAAATAAACATAAGTCTAATTAGAATTTCACTGTTTTACTTAGAAAAAATGACGAGTTTTTCTCTATTACTTTATTCGATCTTCACATTTTATATAAATCAAAGGGTTAATCCAATTATTAGTAGATATGTAAATTTAAATTGCTGATTCTAACTAATGTTTAGTATAAAAATTGTTGCGTTAATGGTTTTTATTATTTCATTACCTAAATATGACTAAGCGGTTAATTCTCAACAAATTAGATTTGCAGAACAACAACAATGCCATCCACATCATCATAATCTGCAGTCCAACGTAGATCTAATTCTCGAAGCCTTTCGTCGAAGAATATGAAAATGCAAACGATGAGTACAAAAAAAAAAAAAACCATTCCAGTGATGCTGTTCATATTCTAACATTTCTCGGTTTCTATGACCATTTGTAAAAATCGATAAATGTTTAAATATAAAATAAGTACCTAAATTATATTTTTTTTTACGAATTGATATTTAAATTATTTTTTGAATCATCCATGTGTCTAATGTTATAAATACTATCATTTTAGGTGTCTCGATCGGCCGTTATAAAATTATATTAAACGACATGTGTTATAATCTTACAATTTTGAAGTTAGTATTTTTTCAAAAAAAATATTATTAAAAAAACTCTATATCCAACCCACGTCCCACCCTTGCTTTCATGGCTTCCCTTCTCTCCCCTGCTATTGCTCCAAATTTTTCATGGTCAAACGGCCGACCAAATAGTCAACTGTCACAGTTGATTAAACGGCTGATTATCACAATCGATCAAAAAAATGTAAGAGATTTTAGGGATTATGTATCAAAATGTAGGGATTTGGGAATTTTAGATTTTGAGATGATAGTAAGGGTTGTAACCCATCAGTGGGTGGTCAGCGACATATGATAGTCGGAGATGATCGACGATTGAAGTAAATAAGACTATAATTATAGATTTTAAGAGTTAGAGTATTTTGCTATTTTAAAAAAAATTGGGTTTTTTAAATAAAATATTTTAAGAATTTTAAATAATTTTCTAAAATTATTAGATTGTAACATATTTCTCATAACAAATTTTTTTAACGATAGTTAAAATCGAAGCTCCTAAATGATAAAACCAAGTATAATTGGATCACTTATTTTATATTTAAACCATCGACAAATATCTATCTGTGGGAATTATCCAATGCGCTACACAACAAAGTTGTAAGAAAATTCCAGGAAAGGGGACAAAAACATCCGCTTTCCAGCTTTGCTTATGCACAACTCTCTATATTACAGTATCGAATTGTGTTAGAAATTTAAATTTCGAAAGTTAACGGAACGAGATTAATATAAAATAAATTAAATCAGATTTAAAAATGATTTTGACATAGTTTATTCTCACAGACGGGGAGAAATAATAATTTATTATAGATTTAGAGTTCATAAAAAGTTTCCAACTTGTATTTATGTGGGCACTGCAAAAGAATGTCTCTCTTCCATTTTCATAAATGAGCCTGCTGCTACAATCTGTGGTGCAGTGGTATCATGATAACTGAAAATGAAAGCCCAGGTGAATAAAAGAAACGAATAGTGGGAAATAAATTAAGGAGCAAATTCGAGTCTTGGTTAGAAGCAGGAACCAGAGAAAAGCTGAAGAGGGAACTTCTTTGATACCGGACACTTCTGCGCCGATTTCCATAGTTTCAGGTTCATGTCGAAAACGAGAAGAGCGGGAGCACCTTAACCCTGGATATATATGAGATTATCGGTACCGCTACTAGCGAAAACATCGTCCAATTCGCCGAATCCTTGAAAAAACTTACGGGGCATTCGAGCAACGTCCACCCAATTCCTCCCTTCAAGAACCCAGATTCCAATCCCCTTGATTACATCTAGCCGATCTTGCTTCCCGATACCTCCGACCATCACCGGCTTTTCGTTTAGGTTCATCAAACGGCCGCATGTAAGAGGACCGGGTACCGGAATAAAACTTCTTATCAGCGGAGATGATCGATTGGAGAAACTATATGTAACTAGACCGTGCCGGTTTTCCGGTGTATCACCGCCACTCGAGTAAGTCAAAAAGTATAAAACCCCATTGCATGTATCTCCACCTCTCCATCCTGTCAAAACCTCAGTCAAGGAGGTAGTCCACATCATTGTTTCTGAATCATAATATGAAATTAAACATCCCATTGGAAAAAATTTCCAGGAACTTGTTTAGACTTCACAATGGATACGGTATAATCATGTGATGTCCTGTTTACCGATATCGACAGCGCACCATAATGAGGGAATTTCAGACCGGGGGATCCTCGAGCTTCTTGCAATTTTTGGTGAGCGAATTGCAGACATGCAACTCACTTCTAATGTCATTGTCCATGAAACAACCAAGCCACATGATGAAGCAATGAACCAGTTGGGAGTCTGAATGCAAGGCAGTTCAATGCCATACCACTTCCGAAGGATCGGGTCATAGGCATAACCGACGGGTTCATCGGAGCTCGTAAACATGAAATACCAAGGCTTTTGTGATAAGACATCCGAAAAGTTCCATAGGAACCCTCTGGAATTGACAATCTCATGCCATCTTCTACACACAGTACCAGCTCGGAAAAAGTTGGCAACGGGGAGATAAGCCAAAATTTGTTCAAGCAAGTCATCCGGCAAGATTAAATCCATAGAAACCGCGGTAGTTTCTTTGTTACCTTCATCGCTAAGTTCCAAAAACGAATCAAGATTCTTTCAACCTGTCATCAAAGCAATGGCGTTGGTAGGAAAACAAAAACAGATTATTGGCAAAGAACAACGAAAGGGTCACTCTTGATTTGGCCCATAATCAAATTCCTAAGCAAAACCCATTGTAGAGAAATGGGTGTTTCACTGTTTGAAATAATCAAACAACGAAAAAAAAAACGATAGGCAACGAACGAAGAGAGAAGGCGGTTTTTGTAAAGGGTGTGTGTTCATGAATACAAAGAAAATAAATAAACGCAGAGTTGGGGGAAAGAGCGTGCTCCTTCTTTTTATGAAATTTTATTTTTTCTTTTTAGTTTTAGAAATTGACAAGAACGAAATAAGTGTGGGTGGGAAGGCATGGAGGCTTGAGTTGTTTTCAAGCAAGATGATGATTTAATTAATGTAAAAGAATAAAAAAAAAGGGATTATTAAATAGGTATGACTACTTTATTTAATTTTTTAAATGAAAATTCATTAATACGTTGAATATGTAATTTATAACTAATTTTTTAAATCAGCATGAAAAACAACCTATTATAAAGGGTAAACTATGCAAACAGTCCCTTTTGTTTTTGGTATGGTCGAATTTGGTCACTAATTAAAAATTAAGAGTAAATAGTCCCTAACGTTATCGAACCGTTCGATTTTAGCCCCTAGCAGTTAACTCATGTTAATATTTTAACGGAAGTATTATGTGATAATTTAAAAATAATAAATAAATACACATAGATCAACTATAAGTGACACGGAAAAAATATTAAAAAATAAAAAAAAATTCAAAATATTAGGCTCCGTTTGGTTCTAGAAAATGTTTTCTATTTTCATTTTATGTTTTTGTTTTTAGAAAATAGTTTTCATTTTCAATTTTTTGAAAATTAAAAAACATGTTTGGTTAATATAAATGAAAACTTGAAATCAAAACTAAAATAGTATAAATGTATGTAGTATCTAATTTTT